CCTGACCCGGCCCAGCAGCAGCCTGTGCCAAGGCCTGCGACAGCAGTGGCCGCATGTGAGCGCCGGGCCCCTGGGGCACACGCCCCGTCGGGTGTCGTCAGGCGTGCTGGGTGCTGTTTAATATTTACTGAGTCCTCTTGGGGCTGAGCCAGAGACACATCCGCCCCCAGAGGCTGCGCCCTGCCGGCTGTTGTGAAGTCCGGGCCTGACTCGCAGCTTGATTTCAGCATCTGAGGCTGCGCCCGCATCACTTCGGCATCGCGGCAGCCCGGCCTGCCCTGTGACCCCAGACGGGAGCCCACTCCCTAGGTAGAGGGAAAGGGGGCCGGGCCAGAGCGCCCCCACCCCCACCCCCCGCCAGGGAGCCACCTCTCCTGCGCCCGGGAGATGGCGACCTTGTGGAGGGCGCACTCCAAGAGGTGGGTGATGCGGCCCCAGGGAGGGCGACGGGGTGGGGGGCTCGGAAAGCTCGCTTGTCCCGGGCTCCGTGGACGCCAGTGACAGCAACCCGGCGGTCAGGCTGTGCACCCAGAGCCCGGGCACAGCACCCTGCTCCCCTGCTCCCCTGCTCCGGGCTGGAGGACCTTCCCGGCCACTCTTTCACTTTATCATCTCCCGTCCTCTTTAGGTGGCTTCTACTTGTCACTTGGTGCCATCTGATAAGACTTTCACCCTGACATGCGAGGGGCATTTCTTCGCCAGGCACTGTTGGGCATCCTCTGTGTTTTTTAGCCCACGTAACCTTCACAGCAACACTTGCTCTGGTTCCCACTTTACAGATTAGAAAATGGAAGCACAGAGAGGCTGGATGACTTACCTAAGGTTACACAGCGTCGTTGTGGGAGAGCAGGATGTAGATCTCAGCTTTTCCCCTCCCCTCTGTCGCTCCAGCTGGCCTTCAGTTCACAGGGGGAGGTGACTTCTGTTTTGCTCACTGCCCTGCGTGCGTCCATCGAAGGTACTTTGTAACTGTGTTGGGTGAACGGCTGTGTGATGGCAGCTCCGTGAGAGGCGGGCACTCTCCTGTCCTCACTTTGCAGATGGGGAAACAAGTGCCCAGTGCTCCCATCCTTAACCAACGGGCAGCATGGCTCCCAGAACGGCAAGGCCTATGGCCCCGGTGTGTGGGTTTGTGATCCAGCTGTGCCGCGGTGGGACCATGGCTTGGCTCTTCTGGGGCCCTCTGGGTCAGCAGGGGATGCGGGGACAGCCCCATGCAGAGTAAACAGCAGCATCACGTCTGTGCGCGGAATGCGCAGCATCTGGCCCAGCCGGAAATACAGCCCGGCCGCCCTAGAGCCAGGCAGGGCGGCGGCCCGGTGGCTCTTCTCTCAGGGCTGGCGAAGGAGCCGGAGCTGTGACCCACTGTCCCCTGCCTGGCACTCCAGACCGCTGCCCTCTGCTGCCCCCTGTGGACTGAGCCCCGAGGGCAGGACCCAGGCAGAAATCGTGGCTGAAGACCTGTTTGCGTGACCACCGTGAGGACTCGGGCTCAGCCTCTTTGGTGGGAAGCCATCTGTCCAGTGAAGGCCGGAAGCCCCTTGGGGGCCGTCCAGGGCCCAGGAGGAATGATACGGCCAGGAAGAAGGTAGAAATGCCAAACTTCAGGCCCCCCTTCCGGCCTGCAGGGTCCACACTCTGGGCGGAGGTGAACAAGTCCTCTGGAGTCCTGGTTGAGTCCTTTGGGTCCCAGCTCTGCCACCTATAAGCTTGGACTGAGGATCCCTGCTCACCAATCCCTGTGGCAGGCTCTTTCCCCCCTGTTCAGTTAGTCTTGTATTAACTGAGCACCTAGTACTTCCCAGGCTGGGAGGGAGGGGAAGGAAACAGCGTGCAGGGCCGGGGATGTAGCTCAGCAGCGCTGCGTCTGCCTGGCGAGCACAAGGTCCTGGGTTCAATCCCTGGTACCAAGAAGGAAAACAAAAGAAACAGCAAGCATGTGGTCACTAATGTAACGGCTAACAGGGTGCAGTGGCGCTTGCCTGCCATCCCCGCTACTCGAAGGGCAGAGACAGGAGGATGGACAAGTTCGAGCCCAGCCTGGGCGATTTAGCGAGATCCTGTCTAAAGATAAAAAGGGCTGGGAGGTAGCCCAGTGGTACAGTGCTCACCTAGCACGTGTGAGACCTGGCGTTTATTCCCAGCACTGCAAAATAAAACAGAAAAAAGTCTGAAACAAAGCAAAACATCAACTGACATTTATAAATCAGAAGTGCCTCCTTCGTAACAGTGTCGGACCTGGCATCTCACGGCATCTGTGAAGCCACCCTCGGGTGTCGGGTCTGGGCTTGCCCCGTTCTACAGATGACAGAGCTGAGCTGGGAGTGGTGTCCAGGTGAAGTCACCCTTATGAAAGGCCCCAGATGCGGGTGCCGGAGTAAGGGTGGTCACTCTGCTCTCGGTCTAGCATCCAGGACAGGGGCTGAGGCAGGGTGGGGCCCTGTGCCCTGCTTGCTCCCGGCTTCTGGCACATGCAGAAAGCAGGAGTTGGGAAGGCTGAAGCTCCCCTCTAGGAACTGGCTCCGAACTGTTGGTGAGGACGCAGCCCTGCAGCCACTGGGCAAGGCTGGCTGGGACCCAGACCCATGCACACCCTCAGCTGGGACCCAAAGAACCCAACCAGGATTCTCTGTGCACCGCATCTGGGAACCTCTTCAGAGGACCCAGTGTGGGCTTCTGCACAGCTGTGGGGAGCAAGGACTGCGCCAGCCGGATGCTCAAGCCTACTGCATGAGCTGTGGGGTCCTAGGCAGAGGCCGAGGTGTCACTGAAACCTGACCCCACACTGCTGTGATTCATCCTAAGACAGTGGTATGTCTCTAATGGGCTGTCACTGCTGGAAGATGTTCGTTTTTAGGATCATCCAGTCCACTCTCTCAACTCCAACTGGCTTAATTAAGCCAATAAGAGAGCCAACTGGGTCAAAGATTTACAAATTTCAAAGGCAGGTGCAGCTTCAGGAATAGCTGGATCCAGGAACTCCTTGTCATATGCACGTGGCCTGACTCAATATTCTCCTTTCTGTGTTGGATTTGTTTTCCCTACATGGTGGTGAGAGGACTTTGTTCCCCAAGTTAGCAGGGCCAGCAGAAAGAATCGCTTCCTCTGCTGTGAATCTGAACCAAACCTCTGGCTGGTTATTAGCCAGACTTCTGTCCCACACCTCTCCCTGGGCCAAGGGGTGGAATTTAACTAAACCATCCCTGGGAAGTGGGTTTGCCCCGGGGTGCCCATGTGTGTGTGCAAGTGTTATCAAGAGACAGGCACCTTCTCCCCTAAGCGTGAGTGTAAGGGGCAGAGTTGGGGGGCTGCCTGGACGGTGACCATCCCCGCACAACCCGGGCTGTGGCCTGGCCTCCGAGCTGCTTTGCCAGTCCTGCCAGACCTTGCCAATTGTGTGGCTTGCTTGACTACGAGTTCATTTCAGGTTCCAGTTTTCCACAACTGTTCTTAAACCTCAAATGCAGGCCCCTCATTACAAATGAGGAAACTGAGGCTCAGAGAGCTTCAAGTTACTCAGGAAAGCTGGAGGTACTGGGGATGGGACCCAGCCAGGTCTACTGACTCCCACAGTGCCTCTCCGGGGCCATTGTCCTGACCTCCCCTCCTCATCCCTTCTTGCAGGAAGTCAACCAACAAGAGCTCTGTGCGATCGAGGTCGCCTGCGAAGCACTCCAAGGCATATGGCTCGCTGCGCAAGGCGCCGGCCAGCCTGGACCCCAACCCCCAGCAGGTGAAGAGGATCTTCGAAGCCCTGAAGCATGGCCTCACGTAAGCGGGGCCTGGGGTCCCTCTTGCCGCCCTGTCTCTTCCCAGGAAGCGCAGCAGGTCCACCTGTGAGGCACAAAGGGCTCCCGGCCGCTCCCTTAGTGAGAACAATCCGGGCTCTGCGAGCGGAGAGACTGATGGTTACCACTCACCGGGGAAGAAGCCAGATAGGGGAGTCATTCACACACTTTTCTTCATTGAGGTGCAGGGGACAGGGAAAGAAACAGATAAAAGCCCTGCCTTGGGGGTGCCAACTCCATGAGCCATACAGAGAAGTAAAACACAGGGCATATGGGATGGTGTGAGGGCCATGGAAGAGAAGGAATCCGGGGGGCCGGGGATTTGGCTCACTGGTCCCGCCACCTGCCTCGCAAGTGCAAGGCCCCAAGTTGGATCCCTGGTACCAAAAAAAAAAAAAAAAAAAAAAAAAAAAAAAATGGAATTTGCAGGGAGGCGTGGGGATGGTTTTAAGCCAGGCTGCACTAAGATGTGGGTAAACACTAAAGGGCCCAGAAGCGAACCATACAGCTAACAAGCCAACATTCCAGGCTGCATGAGTCAGTGCAAAGGCCCAGGGGTTAGAGCCTCGCAGAAGTCAGAAGGATGCTGCCGAGCAATGGTTTGGGGCCGTGGGCTGTGGTGAGGCCTCCAATGTTGAGCCTGAAGGAAATGGGAGCCATGGCAGCTTCCATGTGGAGGAAGGATATGAGCCAGCTTTGGTTTTAATAAGATCTCCAGAAAGAGTCGTTTAAAAATTGAATCAGGTTAGGATAAATGGTTTTCAAATTATACTTTTTTTCCCCAAATTTTGGGGATTGAATCCAGGCCTCACATGTGTGGGGCAAGTGCTGCACCACTGAACTATGTTCCTGGCCCTTTTTTATTTCATTTGAGCCAAGATTTTGCCTAATTGCCCAGGCTGGGCTGGGGTCTGTCACCCCCTGCCACACCTGGTGTGTGTCCTTCCCTAACGTAATGTGTGCCGTGATGCAAGAAAGTTAAAATGGAGGGAGGGGCTGTTTTACACTCTGTCTTCACGGTCAAGCGGCCTCACCTTCAGAGAAGCCAGGGGCATCCCAAGTTCTGGACGCAGGCGGGGGTGACCCTGGTCTCGGGGCCACCTGGCCAGGGATCAGCTGAGGAGGCCCCGTCGGGCTTTTGGGGCTGGGTGGCAGCCGGTCTGGGTCCTCCTCACCCCATCCAGGAGAATGGGCGGTCCCCACCGACAGGGACAGGGAAAGGGCACCTACTCGGCAGGCAGGTGGTGGCCCTGTGGCTCATGGCAGCTCCACCCCAACATGGCAGCACCGCAGTGACTGCAGCCGCCCCTGCTGCTTCGTGTTGAATGTCCCCAAACGGGCACACGTCCTGCTCTTCGCAGGCTGGCGCTCTGCTGTGTCCCACCCTACAGTCAGGTCCCACTGAGCAAAGCTAGCCGGCCCGGGTGAGAGTTCCGAGCGGGGACAGGGACTTGGCCACGTGCCACTCCTCAGGGACGCCTGCCGCGTGGTGTCATTGGCAGAAGCGGGCACTCGGCTCACTCTGTCCTCCCCTCAGCGGGGTCCCCACAGCGCCGCCTCTCACCCGTGGTCCGTCTGCTGCAGCCCTCACTGCCCTCACAGTGCCCTCCCTCCTCCGCCCTGCCATCCCCTCTTCTGCTCAGATCTCTTCCATTGCTGCCTCCAGCCCTGGGACAGCTTTTAGGGTCCTTTCGGACCCTGGCCTTTCTAGACTTCCCTTTCATGGTTCCCTTCCTGTTCCCACCGGGGCTCAGCCGTGGGCACCCTACAGCGGGCCGCCCTCCTGCGTGCACCTGTGCCCTGGCTCCCGCTGAGCAGCCCCCCAGGGCAGCACAGGGTCCTCCGTCTCCCTAGCCTGGTGTGTGGCATTTGCTGGACCGAATGCTGCTCCTCCTTTGGGGACCCTTCCCCGCCCTGCACTGAGTGGCCCTTCCCTGTGTCTCTCACTAATGTGCCACAACAACAGCAACGGGCAGCTGCTAGCACTCTGAATGGCTGCCCCTGGAGTCCTGGACCCCACCCCAGGGCATCCTTTGCCCTCCTTCCCCAGCCACACTGACCCCCACGGGATGGACCCCAGCCTGGGGGCAGGCACGACACGGGGTGACGGTGGGGCCTGGGAGGCTGTGGTGTGGTTTCAGCCCTGTGTTCAGCCTCCTGCTGCCGTGAGGCCCCGATCGGGTTACTCACTGCCTGTGAGAGTCGGTTTGCCTGTCCTTAAAATGTGCGACCTAATCGTGGGCATGGGGATGCCTGAGAGCCCTCTGCCAGGTCCAGTGGCGCAGTCAGCTGGCTGCTTTCTTCCTTTCTTCTCCTTTCCCTGCTCTTTCCACTTTAGTCTTCTTTGGTCTCCACCGCAGGGAGCACCTGTGTCTGCAGCAGGCCGAGCTGGACTACCTGTCAGGACGCCACACGGACACCGGGAGGAACTCCAGGCTGGTGAGGCCCCTCCCCAGCAGCCCCAGGCAGCCAGACTCAGAGGCCCGGGGGGGCCTGGGTTTTGAGGAGTGTGGATGCCACGTGGGCCCTGAGAGGCTGAACGGTGCAGGCAGGCGCCACAGTCCCAGGGCGCCTGGCCTTCTCCTCTCGGTTCTAGAAGAGCCCCAGGCAGGCGGGTGAATGGAGATGTGTGTGCTCTAGGCTTCAGGTGGTCCTGTTTTATAGACCTTGGCCATCAGGCACCCGGGATCGAGGCATGTATCACCTGGAAAGGGGCTGTTTCTCTAGGTGTCAGAGTGCCCCAGATGCTGTCCTGGTTGGAGCCTGCGTATTTCCTCCAACATTCATTGCTGTGCACTTTTTCTCCATCACTAGAGCTGTATCTTTGGGAGCCCCGCCGCCCCGCAGTCTAGCTCCAGGCTCACCTGTCCTGGCTTTGGTTACCCCCTTACGGGAGCCAGGTTTAACAACAAAACAAAACAGCGAAAAAACACAACGAACAGTGCCAGGATAATTTGCTTTTCAGACAAAAAACAGGTGATTTTTTATGTGACCTCCGGGAAATACTGTCTTGATACTAAAAAATGATTCATTGTGTATGGGAGCTGCAAATTCCAACTGAGTGTCCTGTGCCTTACCTGGTGACACTGCCGGGGTCCCCTGAGTGGGCACCTGCAGCCCTCCAGTGGGAGGATCGCTCTTTCCAGGCCGTGAAGTTTCCCCAGCCTCCGCTCCTCTCCCCACCTTGTGCAAACCCCACTGACCCTCGTGAATCAGAGCTGGAAACAAAAGCCATGAGCCCCGCTGCCACGCGATCCTCCTCCCCCAGAGCCTGTGGGGCCCTGCAGGCAGCCGGCGTGCTGAGCGGCTGGAAGCCCGGGGAGGGGAACAGAATCTTCCTGTCTCCACCCTAACACCGGGGAGAAGGCCCAGAGGTCAGCAGGGCAGGGGACGCTTGGCCAGAGCCTCATGCCTGTGTCACCCTTGTGGAGCAGCCGCGCCCGGCCAGCTCTGCGCCCCTCGCCCTCGGTGGGTGGCTGGGCAGTGGCCGGTGCGAATGGCAGAGGAGGTGCCGCCTCCACACCAGGAGCCGCCCGTGCCGTGGGGCCCAGGAGTAGCGCACACGTGCGCATGCGCTTCCGCTGCTCCTGCGGCACGGACGAGCACTCCGAGGCCGGGGCGGGCTGACTGTCCTGGGCTGCCCCGTGGAAAGGCTGCCCTGGCAGCAGCTGGTTTGAATTTCACCCCCACACTGGTTTCTGAGAAGCCCATGCAGACGGTCTTCCTTCTCAATCTTGGGATCTTTCTGTTTATTTCTTAAGTGGAGCTTTAACGTCATGATCTCTGAATGCATCCCTGGGAAAACCGCCTCTGGGGGGCTTAGCTCTTTCCCTCTGGGTTGACACCTCCCCGTCTTCTCTGTCCCATCCGTGTAGGCGTCCTTCTTCAACCTACTGTTTACCTTTCTTTTCCCTCTCCCTGGTGACCTAATCATGTCACATATACAAGCGCACAGAGAAGTTTGGGGTCGGCAGCTGACTCACCCCGGCTCCACAGCTTACTTTTCTTTTCCGTGGGTCTCTATCCTCATAAAGCTTACCCCTCTCAGGCACCCAGCAGGTTGTGCGGTGAAACCTGGCCACACCCACTCATTTGCATATAGCCTCTGCCACAGGGGCAGAGTTCTGTGGTCAAAAGCCTTCCAAGCCTGAGATGTTTACTATCTGGCCCTTTGTGGAAAGGTGGGCTGCTCTGATCTTGTCTTTTCTCAGCCACATTTCTGGCAGATACTGCTGAGGCCTGAACTCATGGGGCGATGCTGTCTCCCCAAGTTCTGGCCCTGGCTGGGGTCATGTCACACTCAAAGCATGATAGACCCCACTGAGTTGCCTACAGGCTGCATTCTCTATTCCTGGTAGTCCCCGGTGGAGCAGATACTATCAATGCCCATTTTACATATGAGGATGTGGTGGTTCAGAGAGGTTGAATAACTTGTCCAGAACACACAGCAGGAAAATAGCAGCACCAGGCCTAGAACTGCTTCGTGCAAAGTGTGTGTGTGTGTGTTTAATCATTCTTTCCTCTGGACCTGTCAATGGCCCAGGGTCTACATGCCTTGAAAGACAGAGCAGGCTGGTTGCAGGCCCTAGATTTTTGTCTTCAGAGCACAGGTCTCTCTGCATGTAGCCTGGAGAAGCACCAGGACTCTGACATTTTTTGCCTCCCTCCTCTTCTCCCCTACAGGCCTTCTATTATGACCTGGACAAGGTAAGAGAAACTTCCTGCATCCTGTCCCATCCTCCCGGCTGCTCTGAAGGAAATACTTGGGTTTCTCCCCATTTTACAAATGGGGAAACTGAGGCTTGGTGAGCCTCCCTCAGGGCTGGTGAAGGGCTGAGCCTTGTCCTCTATGCTGGGACCAGATGGAGGCAATAGGGGCTGGAGGGAGGCCCAGGCCACTTTTAAAGCACCTTTTCCCTTCCTGGGAGCAGCAGACACGCTGGGTGGAAAGGCACATCCGGAAGATGGAGTTCCACATCAGCAAGGTGCGTGGCCCTGGGGCATCACAGGCTGGGGGCGGGTGGCCTCGAGGGGCTGACAGGAGCTGGGGGGCTGCAGAGCTGGAGAGGGTTGAGTGCAAGTGGAGACTGCAGAGCCTGGGTGACTTCAGATGCTTGCTGGGCATAAGGGGTGCAGAAAGACCTCATGCTAAACCTTAGAGGCCAGGAGGGCCCAAACACCCACTGCACAGATGAGAAAACAGAGTCAGAAAACAGGGATCGGCCCGAGGTCACACAGGAAGCTCTCCAGAACCACCTTACTCGGCCCACCTTACTCCCCAGAACCCCAGGGAGCTGCTATCAGATCCTCCTCCCCTTGGACAGTCAGAACTGGAGCAGAGAGAGGAAGTGACCTGCTCAGCCGTACACCTTGCTCGATTTTATTAGGCACCAATCACATGTAGTGGGACAGGCACAGAGTGGACCAGCTGGGCCAGGTGGGGGCAGCAGGGCATGTGCTGAAGGGTCAGGTGTCTGGGTAGGGAGCTGTCTGCAGGCAGGGTGGGCCCTGTCCTGTCACCCGCCACAGGTGGAGGAGCTGTACGAGGGCTACTGCGTCCAGTGTCGCCTGCGCGATGGCGCCTGCAACATGCAGCGTGCCTTCTCCCAGTGCCCGCCGAGCCGCGCGTCCCGCGAGAGCCTGCAGGAGCTAGGCCGCAGCCTGCACGAGTCCTCCGAGGTGGGCATCTACCTCCCCAAGCCCTGCTCGGGCTGCAGTGGAGGTGGGCGAAGGCTGAGCCACCTCTGGGGCTTTGCAGGCCATGTGGCTCATCGAGGGGGCGCTGGAGGTCCACCTGGGCGAGTTCCACGTCCGGATGAAAGGTACGTGGTGGCTCGGGGTGTCGGCCCTCCTGAGGGCCCTGGGAGTTCCGCTGGGGGGATGCAGGCCAGAACCCCAGGCCAGCCCCACCTGCGTCTGTCGCGTGACGTTCCTGAGCCCTGCCTGTGAAGGCCCAGCACCCCATCCCACCTGCCACCCATGGCGCTGGCTTCTCCGCCCTGTGCTGACAGACAGCCCATCAAGTCCCCTTTGGAGGGCAGGGGCAGAGACGAACCCGCTTCTGTGTTCCAGGCTTAGTGGGCTATGCTCGCCTCTGCCCTGGGGACCAGTATGAGGTACGGCCACCATCCAGGTCAGCCCTTGGGGACTCAGCCGGGGTGCTGTCTGAGAGGGAGGCCCAGGGCAGGTGGCGAAGGGGACCCCCCTTGGCAACCACCACATCCTCCTGGGCCACGCCTGCAGGTGCTCCTGCGCCTGGGCCGCCAGCGCTGGAGGCTGAAGGGCCGCATCGAGTCTGACGACAGCCAGACCTGGGACTCGGCGGAAAAGGCCTTTGTGCCCACGCTGCGTGAGAACTTGGAGATCAAGGTGGGGGCCGGGCTGGGGCAGGCAGGGGGCCCTGGGGGTGCAGCTCGGACACCACCCTTCAGTCCTCACCCCCAGGTGACCGAGCTTCGGGGCCTGAGCTCACTGGCCATCGGCGCCGTGACTTGCGACATCGCCGACTTCTTTAGGACGCAGCCACAGGTCATCGTGGTGGACATCACGGAGCTGGGCACCATCAAGCTGCAGCTGGAGGTGGTGTGGAAGTGAGTGGTGCCAACCCCAGAGTCCCTCTGCCCTGCCGCACGCCCTGCTGGCCAGACTGTACCCAGGCTTGGTGCTGGGCTGGCAACTCTGTCCTCATTGAGGTCCTCAAGCTTCTGGGCCTCAATCCTCCGCAGCCACACTGTGTGCGGAGTGAGCACAGTGCTAGATGCTCTTAAGGCTGTGAGAGGAACCAGCTGTGGGTCAGCCCTGTCCCCATCAGGGTGACACTGGCCCCAGCAAGCCCCCCCCACCGCCTCAGGGTCTGGTGGTTAGGGTACAACGGATTTGGGTAAAGGACTTGGAAGAGTTGCTTGCCTATGGGATTATTTTGCAGAACAAAGACAACCGTTTGCCACTGCAGAGCCCCCTTGGGTCCCCTGAAGCCCAGGGCCTCCCTCCCAGGTGGCTGCCCAAGACAACCGGCCTCCCTCCTCTCCTCCAGCCCCTTTGACTCCGAGAGCCCCCTGGTGTCACCCAGCCCCATGGGGAAGCTTTCTCTGGGCAGCAGGAAGGGCTCCTTGTACAACTGGACACCCCCGAGCACCCCCAGCTTCCGGGAGAGATACTACCTGGTGAGCAGGCTCTTCCCCGGGTAGGGCCCCGTGGTTGCCCTGGGGGGCAGGCAGTGGGGGCTGGGGGCCCTCCCTCTGGGGTTTTCTGGGTGGCTGCTGTTCCTCTGCTGCCTCTCGACTCCGGGGCCTGTGGAACTGGTCCTGGGCTCAGCTGGTTCTGGACCCCGGGAAGGGGCTCTCTGGAGGCTTCTACCAGCCCAGCCATGGCTTGGCCTCTACTGTTTCAGGCATCCTCGCTGTGTGGCCTGGGTTAGAACAGGGCCACGCTCATGGGGTACAGTGAGGGTTAGTGGGGGACAGGAGGTGGGGTGGGGCCGTGAACACAGACACCAGTGACCTGCCCACACACTGCATGTCAGGCGGGCCCTTTATTCATCACCGCTCACTGCACTCCTTCAAAACTCTGCCAGGCTCTGCTCTCAGCCAGGTCAGCACTGTCTCTTCAGGGAGCCGAAATTCTCGGAGGAAATGGACAATGTCAAAATCGGGGAACTGCGCAGCCAGCCCAAGGGGCAAAAGGACCATGGGAAAACAGGAGAAAGGGAGGGGTGTATGTGTTTAAGGATGTGAGGAGGCAAGGGCACAGGCCAGAAAATGTGTGAAACGGCAGTCTAGGCAGGGTAGTCAATGCAAAGACCCTGAGGCATGAATATGTAAAGCAGCCCAGAGGGTCTGAGAAACAGGGAGGCTGTGGAGGCTGGAGACGGTTGAGGTGGAGATGCTGGGGGATAAGGGCACAGAGGTAACAGGGTCCCCTTGGCAGACTTGTCATCTTGGCACGTGGGCTGGTGGGGAAGCCCTTAGGGGTACTGCTGGTCCCTGGGATGGCTGACGAGGCTGCTCCTGTATCTCCCTCTCCAGTCTGTCCTGCAGCAGCCAGCACAGCGGGCCTTGCTGCTAGGTGGGCCAAAGGCCACCTCCATCCTCAGCTACCTGTCTGACAATGACCTTCAGGGCCCCGGCCTGCGTAGCCAGAGTCAAGAGTTGCCGGAGATGGACTCCTTCAGCTCCGAGGACCCCCGGGACGCCGAGACCAGCACATCGGCGTCCACCTCAGATGGGGGCCTCCTGCCCTTGGCCATCAGCCCCATCGCCTCCACCGAACAGGAGGCACGGGAGGACAGCCCAGCCCTGGGCCTGCTGCCGGCCGTGGCCCCGCTGGCGGGGAGCTCCTTTGTGGAGCAGCCGGGCTGGAGGAACTTGGACATGGAGAGCCCCAGCCTGCCCCAGGGCTTCCCCTCCCATAGCTGCACGGTTCTGAGGAGGCAGAGAGTCCAAGGGGAAGGAGAGCCAGGGGAAGGAGCAGACGGGCCCACGGCAGCCCTGGAGCGGCCTCTGCAGGAGGTCCTGGAGCTACTGAGGTCCACGGGCCCTGCGCAGCCCCAGCTCCGGGAGCTGGAGTACCAGGTCCTTGGCTTCCGGGACCGGCTGAAGGTATGCGTCCCCGCCACACGGTGGCCCTGCCCTGCAGGCCGCGTGAGCACCTGTGCTGGCGTCCTGGCCTCAGCCCTGCGTGAGCCGGGTGACCGATTTCTCCCTGGAACTCAGCTTCCTCCTCTGGCAAGTGGGGGTAGCGACAGCGCCCAGTGCGTTGCGGGGAGGGTGCCACCTTGGGGAGGCCAGGGCTCACCATGGGTAATGCGCTTCAAGACCAGCCAGAGCCGGGCCCCGGCTCGGATCTTCTGACCCAGGTTTGTAGGCTGCAGTTCGGTGTTAAGAACCCAGCCTGGGGGCCCGAGTGGCTCTGTGGAAGGCCCCATGGCCTTCAGGCATGTACCCCACACAGAAGCAGGGCTGCCCCAGGGCGTGGGGCTGCTGAGGTGGCTGGTGGCTCTCAGAGGTGCTGACCCAGCCAGCTCCTGCTCCTTTGTGTGTACATAATTTAAATGTACATAAAATAAAATGCATCTCACCAGCATCTATTTACATATCAATTTATGAAGCCACTCTTTCTGTGTCAGATACATCCTGGCTCTAAATTAGCTAACAACTCTCTCCCAAAGTTAGTTTTGTTTTATTCCCAGCACTTCTACCCTCAACATGAATCAGCACAAGTGAAAGAAAGTTTGAGGTCTCATTTTACATTCAGTAAAAAGAGCATTTGCTGCTTACAGCTCTTTAAAACAAAAGACCTCCCCAGGGTGCAATGGCACTCACCTGTAATCCCAGCACTCAGGAGGCTGAGGCAGGAGGATCCCTGTGAGTTCAAGACCAGCCTGGGCTACATAGTGAATTCCAGGTCAGTCTCAACTACATAGTGAAACTCTGTCTCAAACAAATAAACAAAGAGAAATAAACAAAAGACCTACCTGAAATATTTAAGGAAAAAAATTCTACAAAGAATGTCATCTTTTTTTGTACTTTTTCAGTTTCTTTATGTGGGATGGGTTGAGTCAGACACACACAGCTTCTATCCTATATTTACATTTTGAAGAATTGGACTCACTTTACACAATCTTAAGATAATACCCTAATGAGGAAATTTTCTGTTTCTGGCTAACCAAGCAAGAGCAGAAAAATAATGACGGGTCCCGACTTTGAAGTCACAGACTCACATCCGCTGTGATGCACACAAATGTGTGTGCGTGTGCGATGGACTAGGTATGGATGTGCACACGGGTCCTTGCTCTTTATGGGTTTACCTCCTTGCTCATGAATTCCAGCAGTCTCAACTACATAGTGAAACTCTGTCTCAAACAAATAAACAAAGAGAAATAAACAAAAGACCTACCTGAAATATTTAAGGAAAAAAATTCTACAAAGAATGTCATCTTTTTTTGTACTTTTTCAGTTTCTTTATGTGGGATGGGTTGAGTCAGACACACACAGCTTCTATCCTATATTTACATTTTGAAGAATTGGACTCACTTTACACAATCTTAAGATAATACCCTAATGAGGAAATTTTCTGTTTCTGGCTAACCAAGCAAGAGCAGAAAAATAATGACGGGTCCCGACTTTGAAGTCACAGACTCACATCCGCTGTGATGCACACAAATGTGTGTGCGTGTGCGATGGACTAGGTATGGATGTGCACACGGGTCCTTGCTCTTTATGGGTTTACCTCCTTGCTCCGATGAACAAGTGTCCCCCAATCCATGCGCAGGGTGCGGCCCAGGTCCTTTTCAGGAGCTGCAGAGTAGCAGAAAACCAGAGCGGCCAGTGTGTGTGTTCCCAGCCAGGGTCACACAGGGTGATCTCCGCCTTTGCGCTCACCTTTCGCGTGGGTCGCGTTCCTGGTCCAGTTAGAGCCACAGTTTCCAGACGTCTTGTGCATTTTGTCAGCGGCTTCACTGTGTAAGTGGCCCCCAAGTGCAGAGCCAAGCACAGCTTCTGAGCACAAATGTACGTGTTCAACGAGGCTCATTCAGGTAGGGGCTGCAGGCTGTTAGGTGGAGGTTCAAGGTTAATACATCGGCAATAACTATTAAGGTGTGTGGGTTTTTTTGTTTGTTTGTTTGTTGTTTTGGGGGTTTTGTTTTTGTTTTTGTTTTTCTTGCAGTACTGGACTGGGGTTTGAACATAGGGTTGCTCTATTTTTTTTTTTTAATTTTAAGTTTTGAGATAGGATCTCACTAAGTTGTCCAGACTGGCTTCAAACTTGCAGTTCTCCTGCCTCAGCCTCCCAAGTAGCTATGATTACAGCCATTTGCTATTGCACCTGCCTCATAAGGTGTCCTAACACATTCTCATTGGCTTGGTACATGCATGACTATCCCATCAGGTGGCTGGTACCACTGGTGGTAGAAGTAGTTCTCATACATGGGACAGTCCTGCATGCATCGTGAACATGTTAAACAGACACACACAAGGTTTTTGTATTAATTAATTGGGGAAAATGCCAAGCATTGTCTGCAGAAAACTAACCCAGTGTTTTCCTTAGGAGCATGTTCTGGTGCTTTCTAACTCCGCTGCTTTCTGTGACTTGGTAGGATGACAGTAATCAGCTGTGTTTGTGCACACATACACAGATACCCACGTTTTTGTTCCATCTGGAAATGAAATTTCTGTAACCAGCCTTATTGATCTCTTGTTGCTTAGGATTTTCCTCTCTGGCCTCAACTTTTAGGAGCCTCTGCCTGGGCTGTGTCTTGGGTGTAGTTTGTAGAAGATGAGGCCTGGGTATTCTGGCTGTAGAGATGGAAATGTCCAGGAATGGCACTGCCACTGGAGGCCCTGGCGCTTTGGCCAGTGGCGGGACGGTGGCCCCAGAGCAACTCCCCTCCTTCCAGGGCTCCCTGAGAATCCTGAACCCCACCAGCTGGGCAGCCTCCTGAGTGAGTGGGTGTGGCCCGGCCTTCACTATAATTCAAACTAGTTTGAAATTCATTGTTGATATGTAAAAATTTGGGGGTTTCCCACAGACCCCAGGAGTCTGGACTCAATACTGCACCATTGACAGCCTGGTCCCGTGTCCCCAAGTCCCCACGTGGCAAGTAACTGGGCGGAGCAGCAGCTTCTGTAGGGGGCAGCTGCTCTCCATGGTCCCCATGGTCTTGTCGTTCGCCCTGTCCCACGAGTGTTGGGACGCAGATGAGGCTTTTTAGGTCAGTCTCCCTTCAGATTTTGCCAAGTCTTGGCCCAGGCCCCTTGGGCAGGACCTCGGGAGTGTGTATGCTGCCTGCGCAGGCATCGCCTGACAAGGTGCCGGAGGACAGGCGGGGCTGTGGCCAGGACTGGGGAGGCCTGCAGGGAGCCCTTGGGCAGTGGCCTGACTCGCAGGGCTGCCCTCAGGTGGCTGCTTGTCCACAGCCGTGCGGAGCTCGGCAAGAGCACACCTCCACCGAGAGTCTGACGGAGCGCATCCTGGAGAGCTTCGCCTTCCTCAACGCCGACCTCGCTGCCGACCAGCTGTCCCTGTTTGGGGGCTCCCAGGGCCCCCGGTGAGCACCCCGCGCCCTCTCCAGGCTCCCTTGGCACCACCGCCCCTCAGCCTCCCGGCCCACCGTGTCCTTGGCCCCGCTATTCATGGCGCCTCCTCTCCCCTCCCCGCCTGTGCTGGCTACCAAGGGAGTGACAATGGCCTGCCCGCCCTCAGCTTCCTGCTCCCGGAGCCTAACAGTAACAGTCCGCGGTAGAGACTCCCTGACCTTGACTTACACACCACAGTGACCCGAGCTCACCCGCTAGGACCCTGTCTGGTTTGCCTGCGGCACCGGCCGCCCCAGCACACGGGGCCCGAGGGCCTCTCCTGCCCCCACGTCTCCCAGCCCGAGCGCAGCCTCCATGTCCCCTCACCTCGGCTCACGCTGCCCCTCCGGGGTGCCAGCCTGACGCCCTTCCTGATGGCAGGTGCTGGCAGGGCCTCGGGTTTGGTCTCTGTCCAGAACTTCACTGACCCCTCATGCCCCGAGCTTGTTGCACTGCACAGAGGAGTAAACCGAGGCTCAGATGTGTCCAGTTAAGGAGATGGGATTAGTTTGAACCTCAGGTTTCTGAGTCCAGATCGTCCCGCCCAGCCTGGGTTCATAGGCCCCGCCTCCCCAGCGCTACCTGTGTTGCTGCCCCTCCTGCTCCTTTCTTTGGCTCTTGGGTTTTCTTCTGTTTCACCCCGTCTCCCTGGGACCCGGGTTGGCCTCCCTGATCCCAGGCTCTGCAGGGAGGGAAGGTTGCCTCTACCCTCGCAGGCAGCTGAACTGCTAACCAGAGTGGTCTCTTCTCCACCCAACTCAGAAAGGACAGGATGACACCCCCGCCACCATCACTGAAAGTGTCACCCAGGGAGCTCACAGCCGGTGCCCCGGAGCTGGATGTGCTACTCACGGTCCACCTCCAAGTCTGCAAGGCCCTGCTGCAGGTGGCTGGGTTGGGCTAGAGCTGGAGTCCTCTTAGGCTGGGCCCTGCAAGGCAGTGGAAACAAGGCAGGAACAAGGAGCCGCCCCCTGAGAGCCAACATGTCCCCTAAGAAGGTACAGGCAGGGATGAGAGTCACCATGTGGCTCCTACCCAAGCCCCAAACCAAGGGCTATGGCTGTGACTGTCATTTGTAGATGCCAGGACCCAATCCAAACTGGCTCGGCCAGCAGGAGAATGTGTTGAAAGCCTCAGAAGTGGGCTTCAGGTCCAGCTGTATCCAGAGGTTGAAATGCCACCATGACTGGGTCCCTCCCTCAGTCTCCCATGGTTTGCAGTGTATTTTGGCTGTGCTTTCAGGAAAGCTGGTCCCTTTGGTGGCAGAGGTGGTCCCCAGCAGCTCACTGATCACTGCCCCTTCTTAGCTCAGCTTGGTGGAAGGGATCTCGGGGTGCGAAAAAGGAGCCACCACTGGGATGGAAGGGACAGGCATGAGGCTAGGTCATAGCACAATGGTGGCACTCAGAGGCCATTTCTGGGCTAACCTGAAACCTCACGGCCACTTGCAGAAACTGGCCTCACCTAATCTGTCCAGGATGGTCAAGGACTGCCTTGTGGAAGAGGCCACACAACAAAAGCAGGTTCTGGAGGTGCTTTCTGACCTGGATTTTGAGAAGGCCAGCCAGGCGACGTCCGTGGAGGAAAGTAAGTAACTGCCAGGAGCCCCCCTGTGCTCGGTGGACGGCACAGGGCAATGGGGCCAGAGTCCCAGCTGCTCCCCCAACCCACGTGCAGAGTTGCCGACCTGGTCGGTGGATCAGAGACCTGGGGTGGATCCGAGGTGCACTGTGAGGGAGGTGACCGTCTTGGACTAGCAGGAGCCTCCGTCAGCCGTGTGACTCTGGGCATCCACCTCTCAGCCTCAGTGTCCTTTCTACACACTGGGTGGCCACTGCCTAGGGTTCAGTGTAGTAACTGCCAGGCCACATTTGGGGTATACAGCTGGCCCACAAAGAACAGTGCCTGTGACCCCAGTTCTGCCTCTGGCCCTGAGGTGATCTCTCTCTGATGCCCTGTCCGTGAGGAGCTGGGGACAGCTGCTGCCCCTGAGGCATCGTGGGGCCCGCAGGCTGTGACCTGGGAAAGGCGCTCGGAGCCCAAGCTCCTCGATTTGTGCCACATGGATGTGGCGGGAGGGACCCCGCATAGGTCACACCTGACCTCCTGACCTCTCAGGTCCCCTTCCCCACCTCGCTGGTCTCTGAGTCCGGATTTCAGTCCTCCCGCAGGCCTCTCGCAGGAAGGGCTGCCTGAAACTGTGGCGGGGGTGCACCGACCCCGGCGGCGTCCTGACCTGCCCCGCCACCAGGCTCCTGAGCCAGCTCAAGAAAACGTTCCTGCACAGAGTCCGTGGGAAGTACCCGGGACAGCTGGAAATAGGTAGCTTCCTCCTATCCCGTCCTGTCCCACAAGAAGGGCTGGGCTGAGCTGGGGCCCTCAGTTTCTCCTCACGACCCCTCCCTCTGGCCAGTGTGCCGCAGGCTACTGGAGCAGGTGCTGAGCTGTGGCGGGCTGCTCCCTCCAGCCGGGCTCCCCGAAGAACAGACCGTCACCTGGTTCCAGTTCTACCGCTACCTGCAGAGGCAGAGTGTGTCAGACCTGGAGAAGCATTTTGAGCAGCTCACCAAGGAAGGTAGAGCCAGCCAGGCGCTGTGTCCTCATAGCGGAGTTCCCACAAAGGAGTGTCCTTGGGCCCCACTCTGTCCCCCTCCTGAAAGCCAGGCAGTTTCCGAGGTTACTTTCCGAACCTCTTTGGTTTCTCCTCCAGCTGTTGTTTTTGAGAACCCACATTGAATAAGATTGCACATTCAGCTGACACAGGGGAATAAACCCCAAGGGGGGGTGACTTTAAAAAGCACAGGGGGAGAAAAAGCAAGGACAACTACAAAAACAAACAAAAAGAAGAAGAAAAAAAACACATCTGTAATCCCTCCTACTCAGTAGGCTGAGGCAGGAAGATTGCGGATTCTGAGTTCAAGGCCAGCCTGGGTAACTTAATGAGACCCTGTCCCACAAAACAAAAAAAAGGCACAGTCAGAGTTGGGTAGGAGGGTGATGCTTGGCTGGCCAGAGTCCCTAGAATTTGGGGTGTCAGCTTTGTGCATTTTCAGGATGTATCTGATCCTCTGCTAGAAAGCCTCCCAGTTTGGGGAGGTCCCCTGTGAAACCTGCCAGGTCAGGGCCCTGGCGATGCCTCCGTTCCGGGAGCTGCTTCTCTGCAGACCATGGCAGCCATGCCGCCCAACCCTGAGCTGGAGCCCCGGGCCGCTTCCTCCCTGTCTTCCAGTCACACTCATCGAGGAGCTGCACTGCACCGGGCAGGTCAAGGCTGTCAGGAAGCTGCAGGGGAAGCGGCTGGGCCAGCTCCAGCCCCTGCCCCAGACCCTGCGTGCCTGGGCGCTGCTGCAGCTGGATGGGCCCCCAAGGGTGTGCAGAGTGGCCGGCTCGCGTCTGGCCAGTGCAGTGAGGAACAGAAGTTTCCGGGAAAAGGTACAGCGTGCAGGGCAGCGGTGGGTGTGGAAAGTTGGTGTTCTTCATGGACAAGTGCAGAGCGGGTGACCGTGGCTGTGGCCGCTGGGAGAGATTTGGGGGTAGGGAGGCTTAGAGGAGGCCACACAGGACCTCGAGGCAGGGGCTGCCGGGCCACCTGAGGAGCACACTTGACCCTGACTGCACACCCAGGGTGCTCAGCTGTGCCCTCCTGTTTTAAAGCAACGTGTCGGGTTGGCTGCTGAGACGTTACCAGCACAGCGGATGTCTTTTTTAGTCTCCATGCACATCCTCTTGGTGCCAGCTGGCAATGGCTCACTTTGTCCAAGCCATTTGAACCAAGAGATCGGACCCCTCTGCTGTTTCCGGTTCTGGGTCCGTGGGACTATTCTAACTTTCAGGTGACAGCCCCTGAGGAGGGGAGGGGAGGGGAGGTTGATGGTGGGGCCATGCTCTGTACCTCGGGCTCGGCTGCAGACTGGAGAGGAAATCGCCAGTAACACTGCTGACGTACCCTGGAGCACTTTCCCTTGTGGTGGTGGTGAACTACTTGGACTTCTGAACACTCATAAAAGCAGACAGAATGGCACAGTGACATGTACCAGCCGTCCAAGTCCAGCCTCCATCTGTCAGTCCATCCCACCCCGTGGTATTTTTGAAGCAATCTCAGATGTCCTAGTCAACTTGTGAATAGTTCAGTGTGTGTGTGAGTCAAAAGATAAGAATGCGTTTTAAAATCCTTAAACTACAATACCATTATTCCGTCTTTAAAAAGTTAACCTTTTGCTCCTTAGTATCATCTATTCAATGGTCGCATTTCCAGCTCTCCAATATCGTAGCATAGCAGTTTGTTTTTGCTAAACAGATTTGCATAGGCACAGTGATTGGCTGGTGTCTTAAATTTCATTTAACCTGAGGTTCCAGCTTTTTTCCCCTCGCAACCCACTTGTAGAAGGTGCTGCATTGCCCACTACAATCTTGGCTGCTGACTATCTAATAGAGTATAACATATTCCTCTGTCTTCGATGGTTCCTGAAAGTGAGTGGCTGGCCTTAAGAGGCTTCGCTGGTTTACTTTGGTTTTCTTGGTGCAGGTATTTCGTGCACCTCCTCACGGTGGAGGCCCCAGGTACCTCGAGTTTGGGACGCTGTGTTCCCTTAGCAACAGACACATCCAGCAGATGTGTGACATCTCCACTGCTGTCCCAAGGGCTCTGTCCAGTGTCCTGCTTTGGGATTTTGGCACCTTACTCTGGCCTCCCTTTTGCCAAGCGGCCTTTTATTTTTGGGTGCTCAGGATGGGACCCTGGGCCTCATGCATGCTAAGCACATGCTCCACCGAGCCACACCTTGGCCCCACAATTTTTTTCAGAAAGAGCCACGTGCAGCTGGAGAGTCAGCCAGGTCCCTCAGCACCAAACCTGTGCCCGGGCCCTGTGACCTCACTCCTGTGGTTGACAAGGTGGCCACATCTTCGTTGTGGACACCGGGCTCCCCTGGGAACAGCACACCTCCCCCTGCCCTTAACTCCTGATGCACCTGACAAGTGGCAAAACAAGCGTCAGCCTCACTGTGAGCCGTGGTTCGGCTGTGGTTGTGTGAGGGTGGCGGGGTCAGAGCTGGGACCAGGGAAGGGAGGATGAGGGACAGAGACATCCTGGTCTCCAGGCCAGGGCAACAGCCCTGCCCATTTTGAACCCACGAGGAAGTCTCCCTTCGTGTTCAATTCTCTTCTTGTTCTACACCAGATGTGTGGCTTCTCTGATTTAGCATTTTATAGGACAGCAATCTGGGAAAGCCTTTCTGAGACATTATCAGACAAAAAGAGCTTTCCCCATTTTGTTTCTGCCAGCCCCAGGATCAGGTCTGGGGCTAAGGTAAGCCCTGTGGCACACATCTTGGGCATGCACTCCCACCCGGAGACTGCCAGGCCCATCCCTGGCCTTGTTTGGAGATGGGAAGAGCTTCCTTCCTGCTGGCACTGGCAGGCACAGCCCCAGCCACGAGCTCTGCTTTGTAGGGCCCCGCCTTCACTCTGTCCCTTTCCTCCCAGGCCCTGCTCTTCTACACCGACGCCCTGACCGAGGGCGACGCCAGACTCCAGCAGGCCTCGTGCATGGCGCTGCAGCAGCTCCAGGTGCGTCCTCGCGGTGGCTGACGGGCACCTTAGAGTGATTCACTGGGACTAAACAGGGGAGCACAATGGCCAACAAGCGGTACAGTAGCCCTCAACAGACCCCGACAGCAGAGGCCCCCTAGCGCGGATCCAACATCTACTAGACTGGGGGTGGGGGCACAGGTGGCCCCAGGGCCTCACTTCTGAGCCCTTGGGTTATTTGCTTTAAAATTCTCAACATACTCCAAGTATACCAAACTCACTGGGAAAGAAAAAAACACAGAAACGTGAGTTACTCATCATTCTAGCATTTAGCAATGTCAACAATGTTGACATTCTGGCATATTTCCCTTTCAGGGAGTATGCAAGCATTTAAAATGGTTGATCACATGAAACAGGTGAACGCCAGGTGCAGTGTCCCCGCTTGTATTCCCAGTACTCTGGGGAGCTAAGGCAGGAGGCTCCTAAAGTGAAGCCTAGCCTGGATAATACAGGGACTTAGCAAGTCCTTTTCTCAAAAGGTGGGGGAGCTAGGGGTGTAGCTCAGTGTGAGGTTTCAGCCACACAGTGCTGCACGCACACACACTTGTACATACACACAGTTTAAAAAGTGAACAAAATAAGAACTTTTTGTGTTAGGCCAGGAGCTCTTTAGAATTCTTCGAGAAGTCTATCAAGTGTAAACCTTAATTTAACTGACTTATCTGCTCAGAGAAAAAATAGGGTTTTTATCCATTCTAAAAATCATAATATCGTTATGTGCATTTTTGTGTATAACATTTTCAAAAAAACTTTTCAGGGTTCTGGATTCCCTCCCTAGGCTGGACTCCCCAGGTGTCTGTCCAGGGCCAGAAAACACAAGCAGCTCTGAGACTCCTCAGGGCTCCTACCAGCACCCCTGCAGAAGCCCCCTTTACCTCTACCTCACCTGCATTTGGATGTGTCATTTTAAGACACGACTGCCCTCAGGTTAAGGAGGGGCATGCAGTACTTTCTGAGATGAAGGGAGAGGGTATCCCAGGAGTGAGTGCCTGGTTAGGGTCAGCAGCCCAGTGGGAGGTAGGAGCCCAGCAGAGGGCGCTGTGGGGCAGGGCCTAAGGGACGGCCACCTCCTGTGGGCCCTGGTTCTCCCCACAGCTGCCAGCGAGCGGGGGTCAGGAGAGCCAGCAGGAAGCAGCAAGATATAGGAGTTCAACTTGAGTCTTTCAGGTGCCTCACTAGTAAGTGTAGGGGCTGAAGACTCACCGCCAGAGGTGCTTCTGTGGGGCCTGGGGCCGCTTGGGCGAGTCTCACAGGACTGACAGAAGTGGATTCTACTTCCTATTTCTTTTTTTTCCCCCGCTTCCCTCCATCTCTGTCTTTCGTGGTGCTGGGGATGAAAGCCAGGCAGGTGTGATACCACGGAGCCACACTCCAAACCTGCTACTCCTTACCTAAAATGTCCAACGGAGCTTTGTTTTCCTAACCTCACACAGGGCATTGAAAGCATCGACCAGATTGCCAGCCTGTGCCAGTCTGACCTGGAGGCCGTGCGAGCAGCAGCCCGGGAAGCCACTCTGTCGTTTGGTAGAGCATGGGTCTCATCTAGCACATGGGGTCCCTGGGGTTCTTAGTAGAGGCCGCCTGTGGCCCTCAGACCTTGAGCAGACCCTGCACGGGGCAGATGTCCTGCACAGCAGCGTGGCAAGTGCTTACTCTTCACTTCAGTCACGGTGCTCGGTGAACACAGAGAGGCGAGGAAGGGCTAGATAGCCCGGCAGACTTTGTCAGACTGTCACCGCTGTAGGGGGTGGCTCAGTCCACAAGTCGCCAGGTGGGAGACCCCCAAACTCTCATGTCTTAAGTACTAAGGTCACCTTGGCCTAGCACAGCAGGGCACCAAGGTGGGAGACAATCCCCTGACAGATTGTTCACTTTTCTATTTCAGGAGAAAAAGGGCGTTTAGCTTTTGAGAAGATGGACAAACTTCGCAAAGAACAAAGACAAGACTTTTGCCAGGAGGCAGATGTTGAAATCACAATATTCTAAAAAGCCCCAGCGGATGAGCCCAAACCTGGTTTACAGAATTTCCTTGCTACTGCCCAGCCCAGCACAATGCAGGGCTTTTGTGCTCCCCAAGTGTGAGCAGGCCAGAGCCTGAGGCTTGGAGCACCCACCCACAAAGCCCCGGGCACAAGTGGCGCTGCGGGAAGCAGAGCCGGGGACACAGCATGCCCGAGGCTGCAGCCCGCCACTAAGCATTCCATCTTCACCTCCAGGAATCTATCTGAGCCTTCTCAGGATGCAGCTGGCGCCAGCCAGCCACGTACAAAAGGGTTGAGGCCAGACAAGGCCTGGGACTGTGTGTGTGTGTGTGTGTGTGTGTGTGTGTGTGTGTGTGTGTGTGTGTGAGTGTGTGCGCGCGCGCGCGCGCGTGTGTGTGTGTGTGTGTGTGTGTGTGTGTTCACATGTGCGCATGCGCATGCAGCACAGCTTCCCAGTACTGAGGAGGTGGCTCGTGGGCCAGCTGGCGGGCTGTGCCGAGACTGGTGGCTCCGTCACTCTGGTGAGCTGGAGAAAGTGGGAGGCCCAAAGCCAGGATTTCTATAACCCACACTCGGCCTGGCCTACAGCCCAAACGCCAGCGGAGCTCGACAGCGAGCCTTCTTTTCACCATGTTCAACGGCATGAAGCAAAGAGGACAAGAGTGTCCAGGCTGTCTGCTGTGGCCCTGTGAATCGAAAGGGAATCCAACTTTTGAAACACGTCAACTATGGTCAATTAAATTGCTCTAGAAGCCAGAGCTGGGTTGAAGAAAGATTCCACTGAAGAGCATGTTGTTTTAAAGAAAGAAAATTTGTTTCCTGTATAAGTGTGTTTTAAAAAAGAGTCCTGTGTCCTGAGATGCCCGTTAGTAAGGTGGAGCTAAGTAGGGATTTGAGCGCTGCTGTCAACAATGGCATTGGAAAGCTTTGTAACTTAAACATCTTCATTTAAGCTTCCTGTGTATATATTTTGTGCCTTTGGTTTAACTTAGTATTTATTTGCCGTGTTCATATGTTCTAAGTTCCGAAATTACAATTAAAAAGTGATTTTAATGGTAGTTTCATTTCACCTGAATTCCCCAGCCGTGTGCCGGGGGAGTCAGCCCTGCATCCTGGTGCCCACTGCGTGACATGAGAGGATGCGGGTAGGTGGCCTCAGCCTGTCCGGCTCCCAGGCTGCCCTCTCCCAGTGCACGTCTATCCCGGAGCTCAGCCTTTTGCCCCCCTTGATTTCTGTCCCGAAGTCATAAATTTAGATCTTTTTGTCCCACACTGCCGTTTTCCACATCTGAACCCCAAGGGGGCGGTGGACAGACACACTGCTGCCAGCGCCCAGGCTGCCCGGCGATCTGAGGTTTCGGGGCCACAGCAGTATTTGTGTCCCTGCCCTTGGGGCCCTGCTGGGAGGTCACAGCCCGGAACCTTGGAGGATGGGAGTTCTTGGCTATTTTTGCAACACTGTGCAAATCTGAAACTTCAGAACAGGAAGTCAGAACATCCCTTTGGGGAGATTTATTGTTTAGTTTTATCCACAAAAACCTATACTAATTCTTGCATATTTTTAATTTCAAGGTCCATCCTCTATCAGGTGTGACTGCTACTCAGACAGCCATACAGAGACACGGGACCACTGTGTTTGACAGGCAGCTGGCTAAGGTGGGCTGTGAGGTTAGACGGGGTCCTCCAACCCCTCGTCAGGTCCTGTGAAGGTAGCCCAGCACCCTATACACTCAGGGGTGGGATTCTGAAGGCCATGGGTGGAGGCCTGAACTGGTCAACGAACACTCTCCAGCCCGGGCACTCAGAACCCCAGGAGAATGCTGACCGCTTCACCAACGCATCTAACACACATCAGCGGGGATGGAGGGGAACACTGGCCCGCTCTGGTTCAGGTCTATTAAGCAAAGGAATGGGAAGCACCTCAAAGCCATGTTCTTTACAAAAAAAAGTTTTTATTGCAACTAAAATGCAAACCCATCATTTATATGGCAAGTTGGAAAACTGTACAGTATAACAGTTCTGTGAGGTCACAGAAGACCCTGAGACACGCCCCCCACCCACCCAGTCATGCGTCCACGTATACACACTCCTGAAAAGGTATTATACCGAACACCTCACTTTTTTTGTTTTTATTTTTGTAAAAATGGTTTATTCCATGGCCATTGTAAAAAACAATGGCCAGATGAGTAAATATTGGCTTAAGGCATATAGCAGAGCAGCTCGCTACCTCTCTAACATATGCATAACGAGATGGAGAGCCATCTGTCCCCAAGGACAGGAGCTGAGACCAGGACAGCCACCGGAAGGCTGCTGTATACACACCCAGACGACTATGCACAGATACAGGACTTTAAGAAAACAAGCCCAACTCAAAAATGCTTGCAGCCCGGCACCGAGCCGTACCCACACCTCACCAAGGCTCTGCCGTGAATGTTCCCACTCTGTACTGGCTTCTCCCACGTGAAAGGCAAAATGTGAAAATGCTGGCAAGAGAGCAGCTCAGGAGCTACAGCTGCCTTTTTGTTTCTTGTTAAAAAAAAAAAGCCACCGAATGTGGAGGTCTTCAATTCCTCTGGAGGAAGAGTCGTGAGCACCATCAGCCCCCACGGGGCTCAAGGGCAGGCAGACACCTCGGGGCAAGGCGAACCTTACGGATATGGGGCAGGCGCAGGCTGACTCCAGGGACCGTCACCCGGGTTGTTCCAGGGAGGGGGCTCCCGTGGCTGCCGCTTCCACGCCACGGTCTGCTCCAGGAGGGCGTAGGCTTGGGGTGGAAGAGGCCGATCCCAGAGGAGGGCGGGAACCTCGCCTGCCGAAATGTCCAGAGCGTGAGGTGTGCATATGGCCGGCCATACCCTTGGAATGTCTGTTACAGCGAGCCCGGCTGGACAGGGTGGGCCGGGCCTCGCCAGGAAGTGACCAGAGCGTCACGCCAGGAATTAGGCCATGATGTGCCACTGGAAAACATCACTGCTCTCCTTCAGCAACAGCCTTAGGAACCACAGCCACGTGATGGTCAGATCACGCAGAGGGGGACCGGACTCAGACACGGGCACATTAGTAAGCAGGAACCTAAGTTTCTTGATTCAAGCACATGGTATCTCATGGGGACACAGAAGGCTGTACATGCATTCTAATACACACAGGGGAAGCGGTGACTGAGAACAAGATTCTAGCGGATAAGGGGGGAGGAGAAGACCCGGGACAAAGTCATCTCGCATCGCGTATCTTATTAAATACCCAAGTGTTCATTATATATTATAGCACTGTTCTATCTTCACACGGTACCCACAACATCACTACACAATGACTGCTTACGACCATCCTACTTCCCAGCACTGGGCTCACGCAGCAGGCTCACGGCAAAGTCTTGCATTCCCAGTACTACCTGAGGATTTATTATTGTACTTTTTTGATAAAGCCCCTGATGCAGGCTGACATCAAAAAATTTTAATACATTATTGGTTTAAGAAAATGCTAGTGCAGTATGGATGCCCTTGGGGGGGAAAATTAAAAATAAATAAAGAGTGGAGAGGCAACATGGAGACCTCCAGGGGGAAGGTGGTGTGTGGCCCTCCGGTACTCAGCTGGGAGAGCCACCACCCCCTGTGACACCAGCACGGTCCTCTCCTTCGCTCTTTCCAAAAAATTGTTGTGGCTCCAGGACTCACAGAAGAGGAAGGGGGAGCAAAAGGAGCGGGGGACACACACAGCCCGGGGAGGGGGTCTGAGTGCAGAGCAAGCCCTTCCGGCCCGGCTGTCTACAACGGCTGTCCGGCGGCCCTTACCTACCGCAGCAGGCCTACGAGCAGCGGCGGGCACTGGGTGAGGTGGATGGAGGAGGGTCAGGTTATGTGTTGTTGCGGTTGAACAGGAACTGGAATGAAACCAAACATTTTGGATGAGTCCAGACCCACACGGCAGAGCTGCGTGACTCGTGCATGACCCCGGCCACTCCCACCAAGGGGGCCACCTGGGGGATTTGGGTATTTTTCCAATGACCTCCTCCCCAAAAGTCACCCCTAAGGAAAAAATGTTTGCATTCTACTAAACCATCCGACACACTCAAAGATGGCCACCTGGAAAGAGGTACAATATTTCGATGGATGAAAAAAGCCCTAGGAGACACTTTCCATGGTTGCTAAGGCTGTCACACCTCTCCCCTTCCCGTAACAGCAGCACACTTCTAAGGTGTGCAGTTTTACCAAAACGGCACCTATTCTCTAAATGACGTGGAAACCATGAGGTAAAATGCCAGCAGCCAGCCTGGGGCGAGCCTGACCCTGAGCAGGGGCCTGCAGGAACGGGGCGATGAGGGCCGGTGCATGAGCGAGATGGCTGTCACGGGGGCCGGGCGGTGGGGAAATGAGCAGGGACACCCCGAGCGGAGCGGAAGTTGGGCTGTGTTTCCAGAGGTGCCCTGTCGTGTTCTCTTCTAGGAACAGGAAAGCTCGCAGGCACTGTCCAGGCTCAGGGTGCACGCGGAGGGGGCCGCAGTGTCCTGACCCTCTTCTCCAAGGAAGTGTACATTCGTAAAAAATTGGGGTTCTTTCCCTGGGAAATCAAAAATAAACTATGTATCTCATTATACCACCTGGTAAGGGTACAAGAAGGTTTTGTAAGTGCCTAGTCTTTCTTTCCAGAAATAACAAAAAGCTGCTTTTTATAAAGGTTAAAAACAACAATGTGTTGTAATTCTGTTTTGTCAAAAACAAAGAAACAACAAAAGAAGAGAAAGCGACAGAGAGAGAGGAGGTGGAGAAGAAGAGAGGGAAGGAGGGAGAGAGAGGAAGAGAGACGCGTATTTGGCATTTTCTCTACTTACTCCTGAATAGGTTAAGGCCCTGAGATTAGACTCTTATATTCTTGGGACCACAGGGCTCCTTAAAACCCCAGTGCAGCAATCCTTACTTCTCTCTTTAGCCCTTCCACAGTTGCAGACTTGAAACACCCTTGATCCGTGCCTTCTGAGACCGGCTCAGACGCGCCGCAGCGGTGCGTCCTAACACCGAGCTGCGGCCAGTGCTTCCCGCGCTCGCTGCGCCTCGCCGTGGCCGTCAGTGGAAACACACCCTGTAGCACAGGTACGCGCCGGCCGTGAGCACCGCGGCCATGCACACGTGGACCAGGAAGGGCTTCCAGGGCGGGGGCGCGTGCTCCTGCTCCTCCGCCTCCTTGGGTGGCGGCGCCTGGCCCTGGGCCGGGAAGGCGGCTTGGGTGTTTCGCAGACCTCCGCCCGCCGTCCGACTTCTGATCTCAGTGTCTTGACTCCTGTGGAGGAGGAGGGAGACGGGTCAGTCACCTTGGAAGCCACAGACGCAAGGACACTGCTATTCTGGAGCCTTCTGCGCAGGAACGTGATGGTGACGCTGACCCGGCCTCAAGCCAGCCGCCCTGAGGCCCACTTGTCACCCCGAGTCCCCTGCGCCCCAGGCAGCCCGTGTGCCTGGGAGGGTGTGGGGGCGCCCGGTAATCAGTGAACATGCGGCTCAGCCCCTGGCGCGGGCGGTGTGCGGTGCTCCCACAGCCGCCAGTCTCCTCTCCTGTCCGGGTGCCCCAGCTGTCTGCTTTCTCACCGCTGCCAAGTCTGCCACCCCCAGGTGTGTGTGCTTGTCTGAGAACCGCTGCGAGTTACATGTGGGGCGCGCCCCACTCCCGAGCCGAAGCGCACCACCTACACTTCCCTCCAGGAAGGAGGCACCAGGGCACTCCCAGCCATTCTTCAAGCTTCCCGTCAGCGCCTCTTCCCACAGGCAGCTTCTCTGACCGCCTCAGCACCCTCCACAAAACACCCCAACAGGCTGGCTACAGACCAGACACGCTCCACTTTTATCTCAGCACTCTGTGCACCAACAGGTGCTCAGGGAGGCCTGTGTCCGTGTAAGGAAGCAGAAGGCAATGAATTTAATCACAAGGTCCCATGGGGACTGAAGCTGGGTGGTCCCTTGGGTTATCCCTGGGCGAAAGGCCCTACTGTTAGGCTGAGCCAATTTCAGTGAGCACCGCAAGGTGGCGCTAGAGCCCAGTGAAAGCAGGTGGCCGCCTCCAGCCACCCTGGACTGGACCGGAGAGGGCACCCTCCATCCAGACAGGGGCAGCTCTCCAAGGGGGTGGCAATTCCCAAGGATGTGGACGCAGGGCTTGCAGAGGGGGAGGCTGCAGCCCAGGTTCTCACGACCAGCATGTATTTCTTGCTCTCAAACCTCACATTACCTGTTCACGCCGCAAGGGATACTTAAGGGGGCTCTGGTTTCTTCCTTGATGGGGCCATCTTTATCCTCCGCTGTCTCATCCTTTACCCACTGGTGGTTTGAGAAGAACTCCTTGCATTTGCCATTATGTGGCTCCGGGATCCGTTTGGGGGGCCGGGGAGGAGGGGGCACGTGCTCGGGTGGGGGCTCCAGGTCCTCGTGGGAAAGCTGCTTCCACTGATCCTTGAAGAGCAGAAGGAGCCCATTAGTGTTCACTTCCGGCCGACTGACAGGAAACCCACCCTCCACAGGTGAGCTGTGCTATTGGGTCGGCAAAGGGCCTTCGACTTCTCCATCCCAGTCGCACACTTGGAAGCTTAAACCTTTGGAAAATCAAGTCTGTGTCCAGTCAGTGCCTTCTAGGTGAGCACTTCAAAGGCAGAGTTGGGACTCGGTGAACGTCTAGGCAACTTTTCAGCTAATTTAAATACGAAGGACAGCTATTTCCTCGGACACCTGACAGAGAGTGAAATTGCAACTGACAGCCCTCTTCAAACACAAAGCTAGGGTCGGGTGTGTGGCTCAGCCTGGCACGCAGAGGCCTGGATTTGGTCCTCAGCACCACAAAACAAACAACAAAAAGACAAAACTGCAACCCCTGCACTTGGACCTGGGGGAAGCAAAGCTGACCTGCACCGAGGAGTCTCCCATGATGAATTTGGCACCTTCGATCACAGCCAGGTAGGAGAAGCGCAGCTGGTCGGCTGTCTGGATCAGCCCCATCCGGAATTTCCTCATTTCCAACAGCACTTTCTTGATGTCCACGGACGAAGGGTCTTTCCTCTTGTCCATCTGAAAGTCAGACAGGAGACAAGACTAAGCCAGCTCCAACTCTGGTGCAATGCAAGTTCACACTTTCTGCAGGAGAAGCGCTCTGGTTTCTAACCAGGAAAATCATGGAGGGGCAGGCAGAGGAATTCCAGAAAATGTGGCAAAGTTGGGACCCTTTGGGTAACAGGGCTGAAACAATTTTGAACAAGGGAGAAAGCCTCTGGCTACCTGGATCCTACTTTAAAATTGGAAGCAGCCTGTAAAAAGAGCTATTTAAGGCAAAGCCACGTTACTGTGCAGAAGTTGTTAAAAAGCAAGAGTCAAAGCTTGGTGTAGTGACACATGCAGGCGTCTCAGAACTTTGGGAGGCCGAGACAGGAAGGCCACAAATTCAAGCCCAGCCTGGGAAACTAGTAACTTTATAAGACTGTCTCAAAAATAAAAACTAAAAAGATGCTTGGGAAGGTTTTTTTTTTTTTCCTTTTGGTACCAGGGATCGAACTCAGGTCTTTGTGCTTGCAAGGCAGGTGGCAGAACCACTGAGCTAAATCCCTGGCCATAAAAACTAAAAAGAAAGGGCTAAGGATGTAGCTCAGCCTGCAGGCTCTGGGTTCAATCCCTAGTACTGAAGAAAAATAAGAAGCAAAGGTCCAAGCTAGTTGTTGCCTGAGGAATGCACACGTGGGGACAGCAGACAGACAGCTGTGGCCGGGCAGGGTGGGGATCAATGCGTCTCTTTCTTGGCGCCTCAGAGGCTTCCTCACCAGCAAGAGGCAGGTGTCAGCCAGACAGAAGGTCCCCGACCTGCCGATGCCGGCGCTGCAGTGCACCACAATGGGGCCGTGCTCTGCGCTGAGAGACCCCGACTCGCGAACTTTGAAAAGAAAGTTCAGGAATGAGGCTGGTGACTCAGGGACTCCAAAGTCAGGCCATGTGGTATAGTGGAAGTGTAAGATCTCTCGAGTTTCTTGAGTCTGAAAGAGAAAAACATTCACGATGCTGCGAAGAGTGACACATCTGTACAGAAACGTCACGAAACGCCAAGTGCATGACCCAGCTGTTTGCTCTGTCCAGCAAACCTCTTGTGCTCCGTCTGCATTCTGTTCACCCAGCGAGCACGCCTCCAGAGCTTCCCAGAAGGCACTCTTCACGTCAGGTTTGCAAATGATAACAAGCCCGACACGGGTCTGCCACACAATCCCCAAACACACTGCCACGTGGGGCCACGTATTCCCGACACCCCTCTGAGGGCCGCCCCGCACCGCCACACACAGGGCCCCTCTGCCCGGCCATGCAGCCAGGGTGGCGGAAAGCACTGGAGACAGCTGGCCCTTGGCACACCTCAGGACCATGCAGCCTCAGCCTTTCTTAGCCGGCAGCAAGGTCTCTCTTTAACTATTAGCTGAGCAACAGGGACCCCATGAGCTCTAAAGCAGGAGGTGAACCTCACCCAGAAGCTGAGCCCACGCAGCAGCACAGCCCAGTGGGCCCCACTCCAGGGCGCCTGCTCCTCCTTCCCTGCTGACTGTTGCTGGACCACTCCCCAGGCAACATCATGGTGCTGCACCCAGGGGGCTGATTCCTGCCCACAAGTGACCTCCTGGAGCCCTGCAAAGCCTCAGTGACATAAGAGATGGAGACACATGGTGATGTCCCTTGCTCCAAGTCTGACGGCCCGAAAGGAAAGGCCCGGACTCCAGCCTGGCCAGTTTGGGTTCACGAGCTGCTGGCTGGCCAGCTCATCTATTCATTTTGGGGGGTTTTTTTCTTCTGGTACTGGGGATGGAACTCAGGAGCGTGCACTTGTGAGGCAGGCAGGGTGCCACTGAGTGAAATCCCCGGTGCAGCAGGTCTATCAGGGTCCCCCAGGGCTGTCTGAGCCCTGTCTACTCCTCAGAGTCACGGCTCCTGCTGAAGTTTTCTGAATGCTCACGGGCAGGGCCTTCTGGGGCGTGGCTTCTTAACACAGTGCCCCACCATGTTCTAAGACCATCTTGCAGTGACAGCAAGCAGCTGGTGTTACAGATCCTACAGCAGATGAATGGAGGCCTCGCTCAGAACACCTCCACTGGCGGAGGAAGAGGGGTGAGCCCACAAGGGACGCTGGGTCAGAAAAAAGGTAGCACGCTGTGCTGGCACTTAACTTGCAGGCCACCACTTCAGTGCTTCACACCACAGTCGCACAGGCAAGGACAGGTTGCTTTTACTTGGGAAGCTGCCTTTTCCCCAAGAAAAGGGGACAGAGGAGGAGGAGGAGACACGCATGACCTCCCGCTTCCCAGGCACCCTGACCACCCATGTGCAGGTGAGGACCGTCCCCCAGGGAAGGGGCCGCCCAGGCAGCACCCCGCCGAGTATCTAAGTGCACAGCACACTTACTGTAAGGTTTTCCAGTTCTAGCTGTCGGACTGTATAATATGACTTGATGTCTTCTGAGATCAATGTTAACTTCAGATTTGTGTCATCAAAGATCATCTCTTTTTGTTCTTTTTCTGGCCAGTACTGTGCACATTTTAACTAGGGAAGGAAATAACACTGGGTTATTGTAAGCAATTGTTTTCTTAGACAGGAGGCTTGCGGCGCATACCATGGCTCTCTGACAGCGTGAAGCCGGAGGCTCCGTGTGTGCAGGACAGGGTCAGCACCTCGGGCTGCCTCTCGGGAGAAGGGGAGTGGAGATGCTGACCAGGCTGCTGTCACCGCCTGCCTGGCACCTCCTGGCTTCCACAGCAGTGGGCCACCACCGGGCTCTAGCTCACCAGCTACGACAGATGCTGGGCGGCACAAAATGTTGTGCTTCTCACCAAGTGACTTTATGGGACCTTTTCTGACATTAGCAAGACTGGCTCGAGCCCCCAGCACAGCGCACAGACACCTCCCCCAGGAAGAAACCTACGGGCAACGAAAACAGGTCTGAAGACACTGCTGGCTGAACACTTCCAAAAGGCTGAAGGCTGGGATCAGATGCAAACTAATCTAGGGCGTCCTGAGGGGCTGGGGCTCAGCTTTGACTTGGTTTAGTTCATAAAAATACTTTGATGCTCTCCCTTGATAACTTCAAAAACTACTTAATGATCTTGATTTAAATGCAGATCACGAAAGCTTTCTTGAAAATCAGCAAACCCACAAAGCCTTGGTTGCACCGGAGGAAAGGAATGACTCGCATTCAGTGGCATACTCTGCATGAACCAGACAGGCAGTACACAGATACTTCTACCTGTGCTGATCGTGCTGGATACACAGGGCCGGCGGGCAGGGCTACACGGCCAGTCTGCCAGCAGGACCACGGGAACCCAAGGATGGCAGTGCGTGTGCTGCGGACGGCTCTTCGGTAAGCGACACTTGTAATTCACATGCATTGACCCGCTGGCTACCCCTCTGGGCAGGGGACAGCACGGGTGAAGGGCACCGCTTCGTGGCCGGGCCCAGCAGTGACAAGCTAGACAGTGGGGAGTGTGCGGGGGCAGATGCTCTGGCCACGGGACTCCGAGGCTGGCCCAGGTTACAAGAAAGAGGAGGGCCCCGTGGGGGCCCCAAGTACAGCGATGCTGGCCCTGTGCCCAGGAACCGGCCACACTGTCTGGGGACAGAGGAGAAGCTGAGCAGCTCTTGAGGAGGCTGAATCCAGAGTCGCAGATGCCTCCTCATCCTGCTCTCCTGAGGCTGAAAGCTGGCCCCAAACAAAACTAAATCGAACAGCAGAACAGGAGAGAAACTAATGACGAAATCCCTGGGTGCGATGCCAATGTAGCAGCGAGCTCCACAGCCCCAGGACAGATGCCAGCAGGCTTTCTTGAGGCCCAGCAGTTCCTTTGAAAGGCCCGGCCTGTTCCCCACACTGATCCTGAGCCGCCACTGACGAGCCCCTCAGACGGATCCACCTGTCCACGCGGGCGCCGTCGAGAGTAGGACTTCAGGAGAACTGAAAGATGCATTTCGTCCCACCTTTCGACCGTCAGACTTTGTCTGTCAGCTTTTCTTTTCTTCTTTTTTCCAGTACCAGGGATTGAACTCAGAACCTCGTGCTTGTGAGGCAGGCGCAGCACCACTGAGCTAAATCCCCAGCCCTCGACAGTTAGACTTAGTAACACTTCAAGATTCCAGAAACAAAGAGTCTGACCTGACAGCAGAGAGAGAAGGAAGTAAAATGCAGAACGGCTGTCGCTACAGAGGTGGAGGCTGGCACTTCTCTCCTCATGCGCAGGGCAGACGAGCTTTTACCTGTCTCCCTTCCATCCGGCGAACACCGTCAGAAGCAAATGTAAAGCTTCATCTTGTGAGCTGGGTAAACACTAAGATTATGGAGAAATTCTGGCATACAACCAAGGACCGGTCGATCAGTATTTAATCTGAAGAACTTCCTAGGCACGGTGGCAGACACCTATAATCAGCTACTTGGGAAGCTGAGGCAGAAGGGTGGTGAAGTTTAAGGCAACCTGTGCAACTCAGGGCGATCCTGCCTCAAGGTGAAAACAATAAAAAGTAAGCAGAAGATCACTGCTTCTCACTGACACGCTGACACACACGACCTGAGCAGGAGACTGACTCTTAGTGCAAAGCGGTCCACAGGGCTGAGGGTGTAGCTCGGTGGTAGAGGGCTAGACGGCGATACATCTTCAGGACCCTCCTTGGCCCACCCCAGACAGGAATGTGGCACTGCCAACATGCTGGTGTCACCAGAGTCCCCATGTCCACCACGAAGGCAGAGTTTAGCAAGAGCCCTTGGGGACTTTCAAAGCAAACAGCGAGGCAACCTTAAGAAGAACTCATGCGAGTCATCTGCGTGGTCCTGAAACAGATGATTTGGCTTCCCCAAAGAATCCTTAACACAGAGAATGCAGCGGGCAGAGTCTGAGAGATGTGTGAACCCTAAAGTGCCTAACGCTAACCCAAAACAGTGTCTTGTGCGTGAAGGCACCTGAACTCCAGCGGGCCGTGTACTGCAGTGGCAAATTCAACAAGCCCGGCTGACTTTCCCTGTGTAAGCGACACCTCGGCCCCATGCACACAAGCACCTCCATGTTGACATGTCTGAGGTCAGTTTTAAAACTGAACCAATGAGAACTTTGGCCATTTGGATGACCCCAAGAAAACACCAAATCACCTGCACAACGGGTTTCCAGGAAGCACACACAAGGTCCTATGAGGTAACAGGCAGGTTTCCCAGAAGCAGCAGCGGGACAGCCTATACTATTAGGTGAAGGAAGGGGACCAGCAAGCAAATGTGCACCAAGGGAAGTCTCAGCAAGCTGCCTGGAGTGCAGGCTGCGGGGACCCTTTAGTCAGGAGAGCTCCTCAGAGTTCTTCCCAGCCGCCCTTTGGGAGCGGAATGCTGATGCAGCATTAAAAATGTTGATGCCAAAGAAACTTGAAGACTCAAACCATATTCCTTCTTCCTTCCTTCCTCTCCCTCTCCCTCCTTCTCCCTCCCTCCCCCCCCCTCTCATTTTTTGCAGGTACTGGGTATTGAACTCAGGACCTTGTGCTTGCGAGGCAGGCATAGGGCCACGGAGCTAAATCTCTGGCCCCCCATACACTGTTTTTCATGCCAATTTGTATGCTTGAATAGCCCTGCGAGCCGTGGAGTAGTCACCAGGGAAAACAAGAACTATCGCCCATCTTCAGGGTAAACTGCAGCAGAGCCACCATTCACGGCTTTCATGGCCGAAACTGTAACCCCGGGGCAGAGGCGGTGGTCTATTTATGGGCAACCCTGGGTGTGAGACAATAGGCACAGGGCCTGGTGACGAAGTGCCCTGTGACAACAGTTGCTAAAGCAAACTGTGCGCTAACAGCAAAGAGCCTTACTGCAACTTCCAGCAATAAACAAATCAGTAAATAAAAGGCAAACCCTACATCTGATGGTTTCTGAGTAAATATGTTGGCTTTAAATTCCCGACCTTCCATATCATCTAGAGCAGTGGTTCCCAGTCAGGGCAACCTGCCTGCAGCAGACAGTGGACAGGGAGTGGAGCCCAGCCAAGGAGGGATGCGTGACCGCCGCTTCGGGGGCTGGGGTGCTCCTGGGTAGTGGCCAGGACCCTCCTCCTCCACAGTGCAGGGCCCAGTCGAATGCCAGAAGCCCAGAGGGGAGCACTTGCTATTTCGACAGCACACGTGTCGGGCTGCCTGCAGCGTGAGTGCAGGCCGCAGGACCCCAGTGGTTTGGGTCTTTATTCGTAACTGCCGACAGCAGTGGTGCAGGACAGGGGCTCGCTTTACATCTCTGTCTCCACGTTTTACTCATCAAGCCGCAGAAGCAGAGAGAAAATAATGAAGTCACTTTCACCGAAAAAGTATTTCCTAAAATAAGAAGCATCTCTTCCTCAGCTGAACATGGAAGCAGGATCCATATCCGTTCCCACAGCGCAACGTACACATTCATGTTTCACACTGTGGGCAGAGGCAAAACTGTGAACCTGGGAGCTCCTGTGTGCCCTGTCCTGGGAGGGCTGCTTCTGTGAGGGATGGTGTGGGGAGGGAGAGCGGGAAACAGTTTCGCAGTCAGTGCTGCAAGGGAAGTTCCCTGGGAAGAGCTCCTTCTCTGCCCTTATACTTTTCCCGCTCCGGGGCCGCGCCTGGGCTCCCTTGGGGGTGGCTTCTCCGGAGGCCTCGAGCTCTCTGGAAGGCTGGAGGCGGCCAGGACAGCTGAGTGAGCGGTGCTCCGGCTGGCCCCAGAGGGCACAACAGTGCCGGGACCCGGCGAGCCCCGGGGACGTCCAGTCTTCTGCTCCAGCCTGCAGTTCCTGATGGGGCCCCACAACCATAGCCCCCCTTCTCCTGGGCTTCACCTTTGAGGCTGGAACCCCCAGGCATGCTGGCAGAGCCTAGGGAGGGATAAGGAGCCCGCTGGTGCTGCTGAACGCCAGCCTGGGGCCCTGCCCACAGCGTCCTCCTCCCAGAAGAGAGGCTGTGAAGGGGTAGGCACGGGAGGGAGGAGGGCGAAGGGAGAACGGCTGGGCGACGGCCTGTAGCAGCCTGGGGGTCAGGGACGTGGGACGCAGGTGGGCGCTGTGATGGAGACTCTTGGCCCAGGGAAGAGGTTAAGAAAGAAAGCTCGTCCTGGCTGGAGGCGGAGAGTCGGGGGTGGGGGGAGCAGGAGCAGACGCACACGCTTCTGCAAGCCACACCACGTGACCCCGAGAGCAGCGGGCAGAGGAGCAGGGTGGCGAGAGGGGGCAGATTCAAGAGTAGCGAAGAACTAGAAATGATACAAGCCCTGAAGGGCACCTGTCTGCACCCAGAGACAGCACCACAGTGACGCACCGGGGCCTTTGAGGGCACAAGTCTGACCCAGGGGCGGCCGTTCCCACGGCTGGGCAGAGCCGCCTGTGTGTGTCACCAGGAGGCACACGGCGCCCGGCCAAGCGAGTGGGTACGAGGAAGACGGACCCACTGAAGCAGCGCTTTTCAAGAACTACGTTGACCCAACTGCTAGACCACCATGACTTCGGCTCAGAAAGTGCAGGGAGAGCGGCACAGAATCACGCATCAAGCTCTGTGAGCCCGGTGTGTGAGCCCGGGTAACGAGTCGGGAAAGCTTACTCATTCCTCCCTTTTTATTCCTTTAATTGACTTGCTTGCTACAAACATGTATTGATATATTGTTGCTTCAAATTTTAAGTAAAACAAGAAAAGGAAACCACGTGAGGGAAGTACAGAAGAGATAAGAGACTACGGGAACTGCGATGACAGCGTAAGCGCACGGGCAGCACACAGTGCGGCGGGAAGAGGCGCTCACTTACCGATCCCTTCTCCATCACCCGGTTGAGCATGACCACGCCCCTGCTCCTCTGCTCCCACACCATCTCCCAGAAGTGCCCGCACGTATTGGGCAGAGGGCCCTGCAAACACACAATTCCACAGCGTGTGACAATCATTGCAAGTCGCCAGCTCCCCTCGGCGGGTGTCGGGTGACAGTGCCCAGGCAGCAGTGGCCTCTCCCTGCCCAGGGAGCGGCCACAGCAGCTCTAACATCTACCAGGCAGGGAGAGCTGATTCTCGCCGCTTCGGCCTCCCGTGTGGGCAGCCGGCCGTGGGGCCCCTGCCTAACAGCAGATGGAAAGCGGAGCAGAACCGGGCAGGGCGGGGCGGGGGGGACGGGGCAGTGATCGACGGCGAGGCTCTTGGCGGCTCCCTTCCCACTCTGACCACTGAGCATCTCGCCGTCTCAGGCCAGCCTCCTCACCGCTCCACGCCTCGGTTTCCCATCTGTCTCACCTGACTCAACACAGTTCTCTTCACAGGGCTGTGCAAATCGAGCTCTATTCACACACGTGCAGGACTTAGTGCAGCCCCTGGAATGACGCGCCCAGCGCACCGTGAGCTGTGCTCTTGCTGCTGCGGAAGGACCTGACCACATGCAGCCTCCATCCTCATCCTCCAGCACATCAGGGATGTGAACGCAGGTGGCCCAAGGGGTGAGGAGCCAGGCAGGCTAAGTCCGCCCACCGGGTGCTGCTGGGACACAGCCCGTGAACGCCTTGCATCCCTCCCAGCTGTGGGCACTGCCCGGGAACAAGGTCACTCCTACCCTCCCTGCCCCTCTGGAGACCAGGGCTTGGCACAGCCTTGGCCAGTGCCACTGCTAGCATGGTTTCCGTTCTCACCTATTTTCACCCCTCGGTCACTCGATTTTTCCCTTTACTTTCACACACTTTCCCTGGCCACGCCAGCCTGCAGCACCCTCTCACTTTCTTCCTGGACTCGTCTCAAGGCAACTACCTTGACCTGTGTCTCAGGAAGCGCCCTGGGGACTCAGACAACAGTGACCCCAGCACGCCGAAAGCAGAGACGGCGCCGGACAGGCAGACATTCACGTGGCACCTCGCTGGCCACCTGGCTTTTCATCCTCTGCCTTGGCGAGAAGACCCCAGTCGCCAGGCCCTGCACAGGGGCAGCTCTCTGACCTCTCAGTTACTCACCTGTTGCCCTGTCCCAACACCACCCAGTTTAGAATGGGTCTGAAGGATTAAACCCAGCTACAGGCTGAAAGATGCACGCCACATTCAGCTGACACTCCTGGAGGAGGTAGGAGGGCCCCTCTGGCACACTACTCTAAGAAGGAGAACACAGACTCATGCTATCTGCACAATGAACAACACTGAAACTAAAAACAGGAAGGGTTTCCTTGGTTTGGTGGCTTAGAAAACATCTCAGTCACTTTGTCTAGAAGTGCTATTTTGGATCCAGACTGCTAATTCCTCCTGAAAGCCCCAGGGCAAAAGGGATACATAAGCAGCTTTCAAACGGCCATGGTACCACATCACAAAAGGGATGGACGTCACAGTTCCAAGTGATTGCTAGGGGCACAGGGGTGGGGAAGACAGCACTGCAAACTTCCATGTAATTTCTTCCTCCTCCTCCTTTCCTTCCTTCCTTCCTCTCCCCTCCCTTCCTTCCTTGACCTGTGTCCTGTCCTTCCTTCCCTCCTTCTGTCTGTCTTTCTTCCATATTGGGGATTGAACTCAGGACCTTGCTCTTGCCAGACAGGCACGGCACCTCCGAGCTAAATCCCCAGCCCATTCCATGTAATTTCTTACGGCTCCATTTGATACAAAATACCCCATTGTGGGTATAGAAAGGGCTTCCTGACCTCACACCAAAGCTAAACGGCTGAAATCAGGAAGAAATCTGACCCTCTAAAAAGAGAAGTCATCGGTGCCTCAACCTCTTCCTACCAGCTCTGTCACCAGCAGGCGGCTCCTTCCTTACGAACCCCAGCCCCAGCAGCCCACCCCAAAGATCCAGGGGTGCAGAGAGGGCCAGGCAGGGAAAAACTGGGGTGGGACAAGAAGGGGAACAAAGGGGACACTGCTGGTCCAGCTGCCTGCCCAGAGCAGCCTTTGTTCACAAAGCTTTCTGCTTGACTAGACTTCTAATTTCCAGATAGCAAGCAGAATTACGATGTTTAAAATCACTCTTGCCTAAGCCACACACAAGACTGGAAAACCAATATGAACTTGAAAAAACAGCAATTATGATGCAAAACAAAACAAAACAAGAAACTCAAGTTTAAACTAACTTACAGGTAACAAGTTATAACTGGAGAAAATTAATTAGAACTGCTTTGTCCATTTCCCCAGATACTCATGGTCTTTCGGTCTCCTATCATTAAGTGTTTTCTAAGAGGCTTGATTATTAAACCATTTTCATAACTTTTTATTCCCAGAAAAATGCCAAAAGCCAATAGGAATGTTAAGTGACTTTTCGTGCTTGTTCGTGTCCTCTGATGATGCTTATCTTTTTTCTGGGCCGAGGAATGTGGCCCGCGATGAGGAATTCTAAGTGCTCTCTGGGCAGAGATGCGTGGCCTCCTGCCATCCTCCGAGATCTAGGCAGAGACAAACCCTTCTGGGGTCAGCCCGCCCAGGCCCCCTAGTCTCGGCTCCACTGCCCCTGTTCCAGACCCCTGCGGCTCAGTGCCGCTTCCTGGATGCCCCTCGCTCATTTCTTTCTCTGTTTTTGTGGTTTTTTGCGAGGGTCTCGCCGTGTAGTTCAGGCCGGCCTGGAGCGCTGGGGTCACACATGTGAGCCCCATGCCGGCCCGTCAGGCCTTTCATACTTCCCAGAAAATATCCGTGTTGCAACCACACTGATCTCTGCAGGACAAGTTTTTTTCCTTGTCTTGTAAGTTTTTAGTCTGTTATCAACCTGACTTCCTAAAGCACATGGTAGATTTTATTTGCAGTATAGACAAAAAGCATTCTAAAACTTTTTAAAGTGATGTTTAAAATAAATTCAGATAATTTGTTTACCTGGGTGAGAATGTAACTCCTCTGAGCTTCGTCCATTTTTATCAAACTAGCATTGATATAGTCATTATCTTCTTGATGCAGTTTAATCCGACTGTGGTCAACTGAAAGCCAGCAGAACTCGGTTAATGCTTGGAGGGTCGGAGCGTCTCCCCTCAGGCCCCACACCCACAGGAAAGCAGGTAAGGGGAGCCCACACCACCTAGGCGTTCACACCAGCGGTGTGAAGGGTCAGGTGACATTCATCATCTACGAGGGATGACCATCATTTCCAGAAAGCTTTCTCTGAAGCATGTGAAAGACATCAGCACAGCACCAGCAATAAACCACAGTGAAGCCTGGATCACGCCCCATTAGAAAGTCTGTCCTTGGGCCCTCCCTCCCTGTGGCTCCTCTGGCTCTCTCCACAGGTGGCAGGCCATAGGGGGGCATCAGAGGCTCCGTTCTCTGGAGCCCAAAACAAACTGCTATAGGGCAAAAAAGCAGAGTGGGTTCCATCTTTAAAAGGAAACAAAGTTCTCCCACATCCCATTGGCGGCCGGCAGGATAGCCAGCAGGTAGGCTTTATGATGGCAACTCAACCTCAACTATGGTCAGTGGTCTGAGGGGCAAAGGACACACACACCCAGCAGCGTGAACAGCCAGACCCGGAGCTCTCTTACACAGCTGTTCTGTTCTTTTTAAGTTCAAATATAATGAGCTTAAATGATTCTAAATCTTTCAAATGTCATCAGCAAAGAAATTTACAAGAGAATTTAAATGTTCTGGAAAATTCTCTAAACCCCAAGCACTGAACTTATGTAAATGTAACTTTGAGGTTAGTTTTTAGAATTCAATTTCATTTGGAAGTTCTGCCCCAGGTTATTTAAAAACCAAAACCACTTCTTTCCCCTTTATCACTACCTTGTCACAAAAGCAGTGGTCCCTGAAGGATATTTTTCTTCGCCTGTGGGCTAAGAAGAGCAGGTGGGTACTTTCATTTCTGGCACAAAATAAGGGACAATGGACTCGGGTGACTTCCCAGAAACAGTACCACCTCCCTGAGACCAACGGGAGGGAAAAGATTAGTTACTGGGAATAAGTGATGTGGGGCTTTTGTTCCAAGTCCAAAGAGAGGTATTCTTAAAAAATAAGATACCCTTGAATACGATTTCTCACCATGGAGGATTAATAAAAACTGAGATACTTGGGTGATTTTGAAGGGTATCAAGGTGATAAAAAAAATCTAAGAAAAAAAATGTAAATGACCAGTACTGGTGGGCTGCGTGGATACAAACAGCACTGGGCGACCTCGGGCAAACCACTTGTCCTCTGGGCCTTGTTTTCAATGCCAAATGCAAGGTAACCGGAGGGCTGTGGAAGAGCCAGTGAGTCACTGGGTACCAAGCCTAGCTCAGCAGCAGGCGCGAGGTATCGAGGCCACGGGCACCGTGCACCGGACAGCAGGTTACCTCTGACCCGAGCCACGCTCCCCTCTCCCTCACAATATGAATGGCAAATTATTTTTTCTACTGGAGGGCATGGGTAGGAGACCAAACAAAAAAGGTATGAAGAATGAGATTGGGGGTGAAAATTTTGGGGATTATTTCTGAGGAAGAATATTTTAAATGCTGTAAAACTGGCTCCAAAACTTTTTTTTTTTTTTTAGGTAGGGACTGTCTTTGTAGTTCAGGCTGGCTCTGAATTCACTATGTAGCCCAGGCTGGCCTCAAACTCACGGCAGTCCTCCTGCCTCAGCCTCCCTAGTGCTGGGATTACAGGCGTGCACCACTACATCCAGCACAGGCTCCAAAACTATTTAGGCGAGAAATTATAAAAACCATAGCAAAGGAATATCGCTGTCAGTGCTACTCCTCAATTCAGAACAGTACAGCTGCAGCAAGCAACCTGGGCGTCCCAGTGCTGCGCTGTGTGAAAGAGGTGAGCAGTGGCTGTTCTGCCACACACAGATCCTCAGGCAGAAGCCTTCTTCAGCCAGGACTCCAGCCAGGACTTCACAGTAGACTCACCCAGGATTTCTGTTTTTGTTGCTGTTTTTTAAATAAATATATATGTGGTGCCTCAGCCTAGACATGTTAAATCAAAGGCACCAGGCACTGAGCACACTCAAGCATCACCTGAGCAGCTAGTACTGCACTTCAGATGTCCTGGTGGCCAGTATTTACTGAGTAGTGGCTGCATCTGGGCTACGTGCTTGTGCTGTTTCACCTCATCTCCACACGCTCCTACTGGGTGTGACTCCTGCTGTATGCACAGAGAAGAGAACAACACAGTTCTAAGGGGCCGCGCTGAGACATAAACTCAGGCAGGGAATCAGGAGACACCGGCTCTGTGCCCTTTCCAGGTCCAATTTAACATCTCCCGGGGAATGTGAGCAAACGCCACGGAGACGTCACAGCCACTGGCTCAGGTCCACCCTCCCTCGAGGAGAGTTCGAAAGGCCTGGTGGCCTAGTGGAGACGGCAAAGCTCAGGTCTCGAATTCAGCTCGGGTTTTTCTTGCTTCGTACAAATTCTAACATGGTCAGCTATTGACTTGCAAGGTGTCTGAGCCAATCCTTAGCAGGCAGGAGGCTCCCCGAGGGCAGCGGTCGCGCTGACCGTCATGGGAAGGTGTGCTCATGGCAGCGAAGGGCAGAGTGTGCAGAGGTGGCAGGGGAGGGCGACGTCTGCGGAGGGGCACAGAGCTCTGCCTCTGGTGCCCATGCAGGGCGTCGCTGTGGTTCCACACAGTGCTGGGGGCTAACAATACTGCTGCTGAGTCACCAAGAAAAGTTTACATTATGCCTGCTACACTCTGTTTCAGCTGGCAGGAAAATGATTCATCACAAAATAGCCAAAGCTAAGAAAAATAGTGCTTTGAACTTGGCTGAATTTTCCAGAAAATGAAACCTTACCCCTTGTACAAGGGTGGAAAAAATGAACATGTATAAGTCTCTAATGCCCACTTCATAGGAAACAACCAAGTCATAAACCTCTAACTGCTGCGCATTTATCGCCAAACCCTGGGGTGATGGGGTCAGGGCAGAGTGGGCCTGGGCACAGGGGCGAGCCCAGGAAGCTGTGTGGATACTTACAGGGACTGACGTCTCGGTACCTGTTTCGGTTTTTGTTCATAGGAAGCTTGGCCACTTTACAGGGGAAGTCACTGGCTTCATGTCGGATGTCCTACAAGAAAGGATAAAGAGTTCCCTCTTCCAGTCTCTGGCATCAGGAATCCATCCAGGCATTTAACTGAACACTGGCTTCCCGCCAGGTACTAAGGGCAAAAACAGACATCAAAGAGGGCCAGGCAGTGTAGGAGGGGCAAGGTGATAATTCAGAGGTATGTGCAAGGTCAGGGAGGAAGGCAGAAGAGGAACAACCAAAGGCTGGGGTCAGAGGCAGTGACGCAGGAGGAGGAGGAGGCGGCG